CCAGCGTGGGGTTTGGGAATGTGGGAGCCCAGCGTGGGGTTTGGGGGTGCGGGAGCCCAGTGAGGTGATGGGTGCCGGCAGCACCATGCTTGCAACCCACCCAGGAAGCAAAGAGTGCTTGTGCTGGAGAACAAGATATAAAATCAAACGTTGTGTCGTCTCTGCCTGGGGAGGAGAGACGGGCAACGGGTTGCTCAGCCACAGGCCCTGTCCCAGGACAGGCAGAGTAATGGGATCAAGCTGTAGCTCTGCCCTGGCTGGGGCAGGCAGCCCAGGAGCATCCCCAGGGAAGCACTGGACCTTTTCCCCCAGGAGCTGTGTGCGGTGGCAGGAGGGTCTAGGACCCCATCCTTGCTTTCGTGTCGTTTTATGCAGTGATGTTGCCAGCGAAGCAGGGAGCAGCCACCAGAACCGGTGTTTGGCCAGGGGTGATGGGATCAGCACGGTGGTCCGCAGCAGTCTGGCTTGCTTGGCCAAATGTCAAGAGGGGAGAGAGCTCTGGGAGAGCAGACAGGGAGCCAGGCGAGCGCAGCGGGCTCCTCGTCAAACAGAGCCGAACACACGCTCCTGCTGCCAGGTGCTGCCTGCACCAGCCAGCACGGACCTTCCGTGCGGAAAGCTTGTGGCAGAGGCTGGGATATCGCAGAGCCCAGAGCTGGTCCCCGCAGTGCACTGGGGACCTGTCCGTGCTGGGACTTGTGGGGATGGTTGCTCTGCGGTCTCAGCCTGTGCTGCCCCAGGCTGCTATTTTTCATCACATTCTGTTCTCGTGCTGGTCTCACAGCCAGCTGCTCTGAGCCAGCAGGAGGAAGAAAGCCCAGCCTATGCCTCACACCTTGGGTTAAAGGGCAGCGACGATAAAAATGCCCAGAATGAGTCCTCCAGCTGAGGAGGCTCACACCTTGTTTCCATCAAGCAGAGGAGCAGGAGGGGCCTGGTATTTCTGGTGCCCTCCTCCACCTCCTTGCTGCAGACCCTCCGCGACACCTTTCTCCCTTGCACACTGCAGGGATTAGAGTGCAGGCTGTGTGTGCATCGGCGCTGCTTGCACGCACACACGGCCCCACGCTCTGGCTGAGGGTGGTGGGATGGTCCCTGTCCTCCCCCCCCCCCCCCGCCGCATTCCCTCTGTTATTCCCAAAGTTGACCCGTATCTCATGCACGCCCCAGAAGGTGCCTGCATCAAGCATTGTGGGAGTATGCCGACAGACGAGAAACATGAGACTTTCAGGTCAAAATGTTGTGCTCAGCCCTTGGCAAGTCCCGTACAGGTGTTGCTGAATGGAAAGCCTCTCTTTTTCGCTTGGTCGCTCCCCGACTGTCGGTAGTGCCATCTCCTTTCCACAGTAGTGACATACTGAAAGTTATGAAAGCGTGAAATGAAATTTGCCTCTTATTGCCAAGGAGGGCCTGGGCTGTGTGGGCGGTATGAAACACCTCCTGCTCACAGCTTTAAAGAAATCAGGTTTTCCTTTTCTTTATAGGAATCAGTGTTTCTCAGAGAGGTGGGAATTTCAGTCAGTAGCAGAAGAAAGACATGCCTTCCTTTCTAAGGGAAACCTAAACCCCATGTCAGCATCCATCCTATTTTTATCCACTAGCACCAGCTGCTGGGTATTGGTAGAAACAGAAAAAACATCAGAAATCTGAGCACCAGGTTAAAAAAGCAACTGGAAATACAGCAATGGAGCCACCACCTTCCCCCCGCTCCTGAAATGGGGCACCTCAGCTTTGGCAAGGCGTCTGAGGCAGAAAGCAGAGAGGTTGGGCTGGGATGCCTGAAAAAAAACCAGCCAGTGCCAGATGTGTCCTTCCCCTCTTCCCTTTCCTTGGCCACATGTGGTGCAGCAGCGGCTTCACTGGAGACCCCCACACGTGCATTGCTCAGGGGACACGGCCGCGCCAAGGGGTCTCTCTTGGGATGGGCTGTTTGGGAGCTTTCCCAGTCCCTGGGGCAGGAGGGCAGTTGGCAGCTAGCCGCCGCAGTGCATCCGCCGGGGCTGGGAACGGGAGTCTGCCGGCTCTGCAAAAGCCATTTGCAGCCGCCCTGAGCATTCAGGCGCCCAAGAAACTTCCTCTGCTCTGCTCACACGGGGAAGGCTCTGCCTGGAGCCTGCCCTGCAGCCCGGGGACATGCTGCCCATGGCATCCTACCAAAGCTGTGCCTCATCCCACTCCCTGGTCGCAGCCTGGTTTGCCCCACATCCCTGGGGGTATTTGGGAGGGACCCTGAGGGACAACTTACCCACAGCACAGCGGCAGGTTTGTAGGTGCAGCACTGCTTCACACTGCCAGGGAGAGGACATGGGACAGCCCCCATGCCCAGGGACCCCGCTGCCCTCGATGGTGCTGCATGAAGCCTCCCCATGGGAGGGTGGCTGCGGGGCAAGACAAACCCTGCAGGTTTGAGGCAGGGCAGAAACCAGAGCCAATCCCTCTATTGCCACAGAAACTTTTTATTTTTCACCTGGTGCCCAGCCTTCATGCTGGGCTGAACTTGCCTGGGAAAGCATGAACCTGCAGGCAGAGAGCTGCTGAAATGCAGCATGTCAGCGTGGGCAGAGCCTGGCTGGGGGAAGCACCATCTTCTTGCGGTCTTGGGCCTCCTGGATTTCCCCATTTGCTGTTATTTTATTCGGGTGAAAATGCTGGTGCCAACCCTGCAGGAAACCCCAAATCACTGTGGTTCACCCAGCCAGGGTCACCTACGCTGTGGTGGAGGGTAGAGGGGAAACCCAAGGGGGCGGGCACTGTGTTCCCCGCTGCCTTGGTGGGTGCTGAGTGGGGTGTCCGAGGCTCCAACACCCTGTAGTGGGGGCTGTGCTGGGTGCTGGCACCATGTCCTGCTCTCTCTCTGGTGGGGACAGTGCAAGGGAGTCCTGGGGGGGTCTGGCTGGGGTCAGACACCATCCTGGGGTCACCTACCCTGGGGCACAGCTGGAATGCAGGGGCTGGCCAGGTCACAGGGATGCTCCTTAGCCCCTGCTTGTCGTCAGTGACAAACCCATTTCACCCTCCTGGTCCTGCCATGCCTCATCCCGTGGGATTTCTCCCTTCTCCAGCCCGGGGTGCAGGAAAGCTTGGCACAGCAGTTGCTGGGACCCGGTGCTCACCGGGTGGCTTTCCAGTCCTCAGCGGGGCTGTTGGCCGCCTCTCGCAGGAGCCACAGGGCATGCAGGGTCTCTTCCCCGTTGGTGCCGGTGTAGCACTGGCCCAGGAAGGCAGTCATCTGGGTTGTGTCCGAGTCTGGAAGAGTCCAAGGTGGCATGAGTTGGGGTGGTGAGGCACGAAGCCACCCCTGGCTGCATCCCACTGGCATCCCCGCTGCAGGGTGATGGCCCCCTCCTGCCTACCTCGGAGCTGCCAGTGCACGATGAAGGAGAAGGTGGGATGCGGGACCAACCTCGCATCCTGCTGGGACCCCTCCAGTGGTGAAGTGAGGATTTCAGAGTTGCCGGCGGCAGGGCCCGGCAGGTAGGAACCGGAGAATCTGCCGTCCTTGCTGAGGACGGACACGACCATCCGGCAGCCAGTGTCGCTCCGCCATGACCCGGAGAGGAGGCACTGCAAGGCCAGCACTGTGGCTTGGGGTGCCCGGCCAGCCAGGGGGGGCATCCTGTTCCTGCCCCACCACCCTGGCTCTGCCCAGGGATGCCTGCAACACCGGGGGACGCACCACGGACCCTGTGTGGAGCTGGTGCCACCGGCATCGCCGCCTCGGCGCGAGCATGGCACTCGTGGCACTGATTGCCTTCAGCCCAACCGCTGCTCTGGGCTGTTTGCTGCTGCCACCCACGGGAGAGCGGGTCTGCCCCATGCTAAAGCAGAGGGTGTTCTGCATTGCCTGCATGCTTGGTGGGAAATGGGTTTTCTCTGGGGCATGGCTCTGTTTGCCTGTCTCTGGGCGGATTCCCACAGTGAGGAGCATCCTTGCAGGAGCGGTCCCTCCCTCCCAGCCTCTCCACTGCATAGTGCTGGTCCCACCAGCTCCAGCAGACTGGCCCCAGCTCCGTGCTGAGCACTGCAGCCCCAGCAGCAGTCTTTGGGATCTCGTAGGATGTCAGCGTGTCCCCATCACCACCCATCCCTGTACCTTCCTCTCCGCAGGGGTGACGCACACCACCAGGGCCAGGGCAAGGGCCAGGGCAAAGGCACCGCTCCCCATGGCCGCGGGGCTGCGAAGCATCCAGCACAACTCCCTGCCAGCCCTGCGCCCCGGCCCCCTTTATAGGGCTGTAACTGGAGCCCCGTGGGCACTAGACTGGCAGCTGCAGGGCGGGTGGCCTGGTGGCAGGGTGCCCGGGACAGGACAGGCGAGGTGAGGAGGTCTGCGTGACCTGGGCAGTGCCGGAGGAATGCAGGGATGAGCAAGCACGGCTGTGGAGAGAGGCGGTGGCAAGGGCTTTTTTAAGGCTCTTATAGCAGCCTGGAAAGCACCAGCTACCTTCCTTGGACATCCACCTCCTGTGCACACAGGCTGGAAATTATTACCCGCTTAAACACTTAATCGCTCCCTGCTTCGCTGGTGCCACTGCCTGACCAGGCTGTCACCCACATGGTGCCAGGGCATCCCTGGCAGAGGCAAACTGCAGCAGCTGCAGCACTGCGTGGAAGGGAGGACTCGCAACTGCCTTCAGGTTTAGCAGCAATAACGTTTCCCCAGTATCTGGATATCAGCTGCTAATTTTGCTGCTTTTGCTTTTACAAGAATTAGAGGAAGAAGTAACCACACAGGGGCATTGGGGTCCAGGAGAGTGTGTTTGCTAAATACACCCAGCATGCTAACCAGCCTTGTATTTGCACCTCTTCCTTCTATTTGCTGCTCTTAGGGTCTTTGGATGTACAAAACACAGCATGCACTGTCCCTGTGCTTCTGAGCTGCTTCTCTGCTCGCTGCAGTGCCTGAAGTAGGCATGGGGCTATGGACAACTGAAAATTAAGGTGGAATTCAGTGGCAGAAACACATGCTGTTTCCAGGACAGCAGTGTCTGGGGCACTGGATGGCAGCAGGGCTGTGCTGTGCGTACTGGGGGTGGAGGACTCCCACCCTGGGGCAGCACCGCTCAGTGCCTGCCACAACCCTTGGCATACCCTGGGACCCTGCTGCTGCTGCTGAGTGCCTTTTCCTCCAGTCTAGATGGTCCCAAAGGCTGGGGTGAGCAGAAGCCACCCTTCTCCTAGAACATCACCTCTCCTTGTCACCTTTTACAGTCCCAAACTCACAGGCTTATCATAGGGGCCTGAGAAATGCCCTCCACCGGGGGATGTCTTGCTCTTGCCCTCGATGCCATGCTCCATGTTTGGCAGGGACAAGCCGCCCTGTTTGAGGTGCCAGGGAGGTGGCAGCCACCACTCCACATCACGGCAGCGCGTACCAGACTCGCTGGTGCTGGGCCAGGCTTGACAGGCTGTACGGATAGTGTGCTGACATCCCTGGGGCTGGGTTATATTTGTAATGCTTCTGCAAGAGGCTTTGTCTTCACCCATGGACCTGCCAAAAACTTTGTGTCGAAAGAGCTGACTAAGCTTGGCAGGTATCCACAGAGGCAGATAGAGTGGCACTGCCGAAATGCAGCAGCAGAGAAGGGTAAAATCCCTGGCTGTAACCTAGGGGGACATGATGGGATGTGATGCGATGGGATGCGGTGGGATGTGATGCGATGGGATGCGGTGGGATGGGATGGGAGATTTAACTGTACATGTTTTACTTCAGGTACTGTGCAGAGCGAGGGAAGCACTTTACCGACATCTCACATCTACTGATATGATTACCTCCATCACCCAACTCTATGGAGCACCAAGTCCTGGGACTGGAAAGGTGTCTGGTGGGGATGGGTATGAAGGCACTGCAAGGAAGGCAGCTGGATTTGGGATGCTGATGCCATCTCTGCCACCAGCAGGCAGGTGGGGAGTGATGGCAAAGGGTTGAAGGTAGGGTTAGGATGGGGTGGGAAATAAGCCCAGGGAGCTGCATGAGGGGAATCAGGGAGGGATCCAGATGTTCCTGCAAAAGGGCAGTGGTGAGCCCTCATCTCTGCAGGGGTACCTGTGGGAACAGCAGCTGCCTCACAGGGGGAGCAAGGACAGTTTTTTAAAAGACAACCACAGCTGACATGTTTTTTACATTTTATTTTCATGTGAGAGGCTAGTTTTTCTTGCCTCGGGGGGGCCAGGCTGCCGCTGGAGCATGCCATCATGGGGTGGGTGAAGATGCATCCTCACAGGATGGGGACCAGATTGGCAGGATCTTTCCTTTCGGGGTGCGTTTGCGTGTGAAGACATTTCTGCCCACCCTGTGGGATGCAGAGAGTTCCTGTGGGAAGACCTGCAGACACCACCCACTCAGAGCTGCCAGTGCCGGCAGGTGACAGAGCTGTCCCTAAATGCCCCCCAACTTGCCTCAAGCAGCTGCCGGATGCCCCTGGCCAGGGCAAACCCCTTGCCAGAAGGCATTGGCATCCCTGCTGCAAACCCATGCTGGGGGGTTCCCAGGGGTATTCCCCCCACCCAGGGAGATGCTTGTCCTCAGGGGTCCTGGGGAGGGCCCCTCCGTGGGGCTGCTGCCCCCCATGTCCCCCCATTACCTCGTGGCTTTCCAGTCCTCCTCGAGGGACCCGACGGCTTCACGCAGCAGCCACATGGTGGTCAGCGTCTCCTTTCCACCGGTGTCCACGAAGCACTGCCCCGCGAAGGCGGTGGTGGCATCTGGGGAAAGTGCTTGGTGAGGGGTCGGTGAGGATGGCACCCACGCTTGCTGGCTACTTCCCCCTCCCTGGGGTCCTCCCAGTCACAACCGTGTTCCAGCTCTGACAGCCATGCGCCCACCCAACCCCTGCCGGGGGGGACTGCCTTTCCTCAGCGGCTCCCTTGGGCAAGGCAGTCTCTGTGGCACAGCATCCCCTGTGACCTAACGGGGTCCAGACCCACCACCGTCATCTTGGGCTGCCCGGCAGGGATGGGTGCAACGATGCTGGGTGAGGAGGAGCTGCCCCATGCGAGCCCAGCTTTACCTGTTAGCCCCATGCTGAGCAGGCACCACCGCCTCCCTCTGCTTGGCTGTACCAAAGCATTACCCAGCAGACTTTCCAGCAGAGGAAAAGTCCTGCTGGCTGCCTCTGCGGCTCCCAGTGCCCTCATGGTGCCATCCCCAGGTGTCCCAGCACTTACTGGAGAACTTGTCCCAGCGCACAGTGAAGGCGAAGGTGGGCCAGCCCCCCTCACCAGGCTGTTGCTGGGCGCCCTTCAGGGGGGAGACACGGGCACAGACGCTGGCAAGGGTGACCCGTGTGAGGTATTTCCCCTGGAAGTCCCCGTCATCCCTCACTGCCGAAATCTCCATCAGCGAGTCCTGCTCATTCCTCCACAGCCCGCTGAGATGGCACTGAAGGGACAAAGCCACAGGTCCTCTGCCCCTGAGCATGGTGCAGAGCGGGTCACCATCCCTCCCACCGCCCCACGGCCAGAGCCGCAAGCCCTGCTGTGAGTGCCACTGTGGGGCACAGCTTTCCCTGTCCCCATTTTGGGGAAATGCTCCCCCAGGTGCTGCTGGCTGCAGAGTGGACAGTGCAGCAAGGCAAGCGCGTCCCAGCCCATCAACATGCATGGTATGCCCAGACACAGACCCCATGGGAAGGGATGTCCTGTGCACTGTACCCCTGAGCACAGACCCCCTGGGAGGGGATGCCCCATGGCTGGTGCTCCCAGGCACAGACCCTCTGGGAGGAAATGCCCTGTGCATGGTGCCCCTGTGGGAGCAAAGCTTTGTGGAGGTGGTACCAGGTGGCTGGGGGTGACCCAGAGATACCCTGCCCATTGCCTGGACTAGGTGCTTGCGCAGTTCTCCTGCTTGTCCCAGCCTAAAATGGCATTTAAGATAGAACGCCTGGCTGCCCACGCTGCATCCCAGTGCCGTGCCCGCCACGTCCCCATCATCACCCATCCCCATACCTTCCTCTCCACGGGGGTGACACACGATGCCAGGGCCAGGGTAAGGACCAGGGCAAAGGCACCGCTCCTCATGGCCGTGGGGCTGCAAAGTACCCAACACGGCTCCCTGCCAGCCCTGTGCTTCAGACCCCTTTATAGGGCTGTAACCGGAGCTCTGTAGGCACCGGGCTGGCAGCTGCAGGGCAGGTGGCCTCATGGCAGGGTGCCAGGGACAGGGGAGGTAAAGGAGGTCGCCGTGACCTGGATAGTGCCGGAGGAATGTGGGGATGAGCACGGCTGTGGAGAGAGGTGGGGGTGCAGGGATGGTTTGTACATCCACTCTCCAAGAGGCTCTGCCAGCCCATTCCTTGCCGTGTCCGAGTTCTCGGGGTGGGCACAGCCTGGCACTGTCCCACTGCCACCGAGACCCAAACACAGCGCTGCAGCGAGTGCAGCCCGACTAGCTCTTCTCTGCTGTGCTGAATGGCGGTGTGTCCGTCCATAGGATTTCATCCTCATGGCAGTGCCCTCCTGCGTTACAAGTTCTGATGCTGTTTCTAAGCTGGTTTTTTGTCCTGGCTGGGCTGGGCTTTCCCTGGATATGGGAGCTGTGACTGCCATTGCAGCGAGAACTCAGGCACCCTTGAATTAATCCCTCTTGTAAGTGTGTCATGTCCCAATTTCTCAGGATGATGACTTGGGTTTGCTGATTCCCAGGTCAGGATTAAGATGAAATGACACCAGGCATCCTTTAACTCACAGAA